CTCATAGGACTTTGGCCACACCCACAAAGCTTTAAGAAGCAATAAGAATCTTGGTTAGCGTTTTTAGAGTCAAATATGACAAGATCTCGTGTGTATGATTTGGTATAAGAACTAGAACCGCCACCGGATCCCACAAGCTAAAGTAGTGTTTCTTTGTTTAGAAGCTCCAAAACTGAAAACTCATAGGACTTTGGCCACACCCACAAAGCTTTAAGAACCAATAAGACTTGGTTAGCCTTTTTAGAGTCAAATATAACTAGTTCTCGTGTGTATGATTTGGTATAAGAACTAGAACCGCCACCGGATCCCACAAGCTAAAGTAGTGTTTCTTTGTTTAGAAGCTCCAAAACTAAAAACTCATAGGACTTAGGTCACACCCACAAAGCTTTAAGAAGCAATAAGAATCTTGGTTAGCGTTTTTGGAGTCAAATATGACAAGATCTCGTGTGTATGATTTGGTATAAGAACTAGAACCGCCACCGGATCCCACAAGCTAAAGTAGTGTTTCTTTGTTTAGAAGCTCCAAAACTGAAAACTCATAGGACTTTGGCCACACCCACAAAGCTTTGAGAAGCAATAAGATGCTTGGTTAGCCTTTTTAGAGTCAAATATGACTAGATTTCGTGTGTATGATTTGGTATAAGAACTAGAACCGCCACCGGATCCCACAACCTAAAGTTGTGTTTCTTTGTTTAGAAGCTTCAAAACTGAAAACTCATAGGACTTTGGAGACACCCACAAAGCTATGAGAACCAATAAGAAGCTTGATTAGCGTTTTTAGAGTTAAATATGACTAGATCTCGTGTGTATGATTTGGTATAAGAACTAGAACCGCCACCGGATCCCACAAGCTAAAGTAGTGTTTCTTTGTTTAGAAGCTCCAAAACTAAAAACTCATAGGACTTTGGCCACACCCACAAAGCTTTGAGAAGCAATAAGAAGCTTGGTTAGCCTTTTTATAGTCAAATATGACGAGATCTCGTGTGTATGAGTTGGAATAAGAACTAGAACCGCCACCGGATCCCACAAGCTAAAGTAGTGTTTCTTTGTTTAGAAGCTCCAAAACTGAAAACTCATAGGACTTTGGCCACACCCACAAAGCTTTAAGAAGCAATAAGAAGCTTATTTAGCGTTTTTAGAGTCAAATATGACAAGATCTCGTGTGTATGATTTGGTATAAGAACTAGAACCGCAACCGGATCCTAAAAGCTAAAGTAGTCTTTCTCCGTTTAAAACCTCCAAACTGAAAACTCATAGGACTTCGGCGATACTCACAAAGCTTTGGGAAGCAATAAAAACTTGGCTAGCATTTTTAGAGTCAAATATGACTAGATCCCGTGTGTATGACTTGGTATAAGAACTAGATCCACAACCGGATCCCAAAAGCTAAAGTAGTGTTTCTCCGTTTAGAAGCTCCAAAACTGAAAACTCATAGGACTTCGGCTACACTCACAAAGCTTTGAGAAACAATAAGAAGCTTTGTTAGCCTTTTTAGAGTCAAATAAGACTAGATCTCTGTGGATGTCGGATTCACACACTCAAGTATTTTTATTAGTAGGAAAGATTATTCTTGAGGGACAAAAAATAAGAACGTAAAAGGCTTATGAATTGCTACAAAAATTGCTATCGTATTTCTTGCTCAAAAGAGAGATACTCTTTACATGGCCATTGGCCTCTATACTTATACATAGAAAAATGACATTTAAATGGCTAATTAAGTACAATTATTCTCTCTTAAATGTGCCCGTTTTGATTCCTTGACTTTAATGCTCAACGTTTGAATTTGAGTTGACTCTGGTCTTTATGGGCCTCGCCTTTCGGCCCAAATGTCCTCGGACCGACTTAACCATGACCTCGTCTCCGGACTCGTGTCGAGGTGCAGTCACTTCGAATTCTCCTTATGGTGGTTACCACTTCGATTGTTCTTTTGACTCGTGGGTCTGATGGGCTTTATCCTTTATGAGCCGCTACCCTGACTACGTGGCAATCTTTGGTTGGTCCTGGACCTCTAGTGCGGGATCCGACACCAACAATTAGCCCCCCAAGTTCTTCGAAGTGCCATTCCAATTCTGAGGACTTTAAATGCTTAAATGACCAAAGATTGCGCTCGAGAATCTTTCTGATTTCCCGCCGAAAATCTCATCACTCCTTTAATTTTGGCACTAGCCATTTTTACCCAAGTGACATCTGTCATCATTATGACCGTATATTAATTAATTACTATTAAAACGGGAAAAACCTTCCCACTTCCCGCACAACTCCCGAGGCAGTTCCATCATTTAGCTTGTGTAAGGTAACTTCTTTTCATCATCATTTTCTACTTTTTCATTTGCACTTTATTCGAAACTTCTCTCTTCTTTTCCTTTGCCAAATTTCTCTTCGTCGGATCTCGAACCTTCCATTTTCCCCAATGACTTCTGATCCTGAAAGACCCGAATCTCCGTCATTCGATGATAGGCGCCCTAGTAATGACGAGTGCACTCGCCCTAATGATATTGCCGGTCCGCACTATAGATCCACTTGTACTCTTCAATCCCTCGAGCGGTTGAGAGAGCTTTGCTGGATTCCGCCGGAAATTATGGCGGAAGCACAAATAGCTGCCCCCACAGAATCCCCAGAGAACCATCGCGATGGTTACTTCTGTGTGTACGAGATTTATTTCAAGGGTTGCGGATTAACCTTCCCGCTTCCCGAAGCCCTGGTTCGGTACTTGGCGGTTCTCGAGATCGCTCTTCCTCAATTGACCCCCAATCTTCTCCGAACCATACTTGGAATTATAACAGTAGCGGCGAAAGCCGGATACATTATAGGGGTCCCCGAGTTGAATGAGCTTCTAAGCGTGAGAAGTTCATCGAAGAAGACAGGGTATTTCTCCGCATACCCTAATGCTAACAAGAACGTCATTTCACATCTTCCAAACAAGGATGAAAATTGGCATCACCCTTGGTTCCTGATTAAGAAAACCCCTGCTTCGATTGGAAGTCTATCAGATTTACTTCCATCGAAGTGGTCCGCGAAACCTGGTAGAAATTAGGTCGCAAACATTCCTCCAATTTTATTATTTCTATTGATTAAACTTGTTATTTTCACTTCGCAGCTTTCGTCGCTCCGACTTTACCAACTGAAGAATTCATTGGCTTCTTCAAAATAATCCTCGAAGGGGAAACCCTTTGGAATTCTTTCACTCTCGATCGGTTCATAGAAGCCAATCGAAAACTCAGGATGAGCCCTCCCAACCATCTTCATCGTCTTCTGCCTCCTCCCTCAACACAGGGAATGTCAGCTCGGGCTCTCACTGCCCAGCGAAAAATGATCTCCAAGCCGATGGCTGAGGCTTGCGACGAGAACAAGGCGTTCCTTGCGACCGCCATTGACAAAAAAGATTATAGCAAAACCTTATTGGTTGACGACGGTAGCACCGAAGGAGCCAGATCCGTCGCCGTTTTCAGATTGACACCTCGACGTGAACGTCACGATGACCGTCCTCCCCGGAGGCTTCAATCTCCTAACCGTGATTCTCATCGTTCTTCCCGGGATGACTTTAGCAACGAACCGCTCAAGGATTTAATTCGCAAAAAGAGGGACAGGTCATCCCGCAGTGGTTCTTCTCCGCGAAGAGAGAAGTCAAGGGCCCGGACTGACCGTTCTCCTCGATCGTCCCTTCCTACTGAACCAATGGGTCTGCCTCGTCCTGTTGATATGTCTTCTTCTTCTCAACGTAGTGGTGAGAAGACGAACCTGGGTGCAGCTTCTCAGAAGGATAGTTCTGAGTCTCGAGATGATTCTCCGAAGACAAAGCCTGCTCTTGTCCTTTAGATCAAATCGCTCTCAGGTATGACGATACACATGTATTCTTTTCGTCTTGTACTTATTTTGAATTTCTAAGACCTTTCCTTTTTCGCTTTCGTAGCCATGGAGAAAGAAGGTAACGTTTTTCGGTGCTTCAAAACCCGGTCAGGTGCGATCCTGCCGGAATTCAACAAGTGGCGCTCTGCAATTCGTGAACGATACCTACTTCATGCTCATCATTCATCTCGGGTTAGTTCCGCTTCATTTTTCTGACTTTACCGTCATTTTTCGAACTGATCCGTCATTCTGGGTTTATGTGTAATATCAGGCGAACGACGAGCTCAATGACATAATTGAACATTCCGAAGGGTTGGTCATTGGTCGGGAGAAAGAGATCGACACGTGGAAGGACAAGTTTTCTAATCTCGAGGTTGACCTCCGCTCTTCTACCGACTCCAAGCATGATTTGGAGGACAAGGTTGATGGTCTATCGTCCGAGCTTGCGAAGATAAAAGGGGAGCTACAGGACCAGTACGACCAAAATTTCAAACTCCAGGGTGAGCTTTCTGGTGTTCAGGGTAGACTTCATGAATCCGAATCAACCGCCGACACCCTGAACAACCAGCTTATTGAGCTTAACGCGAAGTACAAGGTGATTACCAAATTACGTGACTCCGAGTTGGCAAGGTCGGCATCGAAGGCCAGGAAGGAGGTTAAGGGACGCGGGATGGAATTGATCCAAGGGGCCATCCACTTCATGCAGACCGAGAAGGCTAGGTCAGACTTGGAATCAGACATCAAGGAGCATGAGAGCGACCTGATTCTGTTGGATCAAATCCATGAAACAGATTTCTCCGAGGAGCAAGAAAGGATCGAACTGTCGACTAATCTTTCTGAAAAGCGGAGTCGCTTGACAGCTCTTCCCACTTCGACCTTCAACCCGCATGACTTCGAGGAATTCTTTACTGAATCACCTCCTATAAGTGAATCGGGTTTAGACTGGGCAGGTAACGCTTGGCTTCTGACGCTTACCACCCTTTTCTTACCTTACGTTTTTTTTTAAATTAACTGGAACCGTCCTTCCCAGGCTCAAGTGAGACGGAAGATGTCGTCCCACCCGAAGTTCCTGTGACACCGGAGGTCATCCCGGAGGATGGTTGTACTGTGGAGAGCGGACCAGGAGTTTCATCTGACCAAGCACCTGCCAAGGAGGCGAATGAAGCTTCGACTGTTGAGCCGGATTCCGAGGTGGATGTTGCTCCGTAGTGGCTGTGTCCACTTTAAACTGGGGATTGTCCCATTTAGTTTAAACTTAATTTCGAACTTGTTTTTGGCCTAAGGAGGCTTTATCATTTCCTTTGCACAAGATATTTGCCTGAGGAGGCTTTTAAACCTTTCTAGGTTATGACCCCAAGGGGGTTTGGTTAAAATTATATGCGGGTTTGCAAAGTCCGCTTTTAACCTTTTGTGGCCTTGTGGTTATGCTTTTGAGATTTTTAGGCTGATCAGACCTTTCTCTTAAGAATGCGAGAACTGAGCTCGGCTTAAAGTGAGTTCCCCACTTCGGGTTTAGTCAACTCGATAATTTATTGGGCTTGGGCCTTAGAATCTTTTGTAGTTAATGCGACGGTTGCTTTTTCCCTTCTTATTTCTTAAAAGTAGGGGAAACGGCTCGTCTTAAATGCAAAAACTGCCTTTTCTCGATTTCCCAAAATTGGTTTAAACCACTTGGGCACACTACCATTATTGGATTTATGGTTCCAAGACAAACCCTAAATCATTATAAATAAAGGCTTACCTATCTCTAAGCTTTATTTAAACACGTTTTTAGAATCTTACTTGAGAAATATTACGAGAATGGAAAACGAAAAAGTAGCCCCCGTTGATTCCGGCAGCCCACTCTTCTTGTCCGGCGACGGATTTGAACCGGCCGGCGTTCTCTTCCCTCACGCCGTCTTTCACTTTCCTTCAAAGGAGAAAAAAGAGGCTTGCGACTTTATTGACAAGGTTAATATCTGTCGTCTTTGATTAAAAACTTTTTGTTTCATCTTATTCGTTCATCTTTATGATAGGTTGCCGACAAACACCGTCGCTTGTGTGAAGAGAGGCAGCGGCTAGGCCTTAAAAGGCAAACACTCGAGGCTCGCATCGCTCGGGTGGAGAGGAAGATACGGGCTTTGGAAAGTGATCCCTTTCAATGGGAATGGCGGAACTTTGATTCTATCGCTGAGATCCCGAAGATGCTTCGGATGTATCTCTGCGCTAAAGGAGTCCCGGGTCCCGTGAATTCCCCGGTCTATACCGTTCCATCTGACAGCGAAGAAGAAGACGAGGAGGAGGCCAGCACCTGTCGGAAACGCGTTCGGGATCATCTCGAAGTGGATGCCAAGAACAAGGCGTCCAGCGATGAAGGAGCCTGTTCCTGAGCCTCTTCCATAAATGTCCTCTAACTTTTTCACTTATTTTGAACTCGTAACGGGCTTCGGCCCCTTTTTATTTATGGAAACATTTGCAATTTTCCTTACTTTTCAAATATTCTCGGAGATGCGTCTTTTAATGCAGGATCTGTTCGAGGGCATAAATCTCTCCGCGAATCACTCCATTCCTAGGATAGAATCCGCAGCTTGCTAGGGATATGACGTTCCTATAAATTATAGTCTCAATTTCCCTTTACTCCTCACCATTCTTTTCATTTTAGTAGGTATGGAGTTCAATCTTCGCTGTTCAGAATCTATGCCCGACTTCTCCAGAATCGGAATGATAAACGTAGATGTTCCAAATGAGCCAAGCAGGCAGCCTCCTCCACTTCGCGGCTTCTTAAGATCTCAGATCCGAGCCCCATGTGCTTTGATCAGGGATCTCCCAATCAGAGACCAAGGAACAGCGACGGCGTTCATAGAGGCACTCGCGCTTCAACACCGGAAGCTTATGTTGGTAAAGAGGAGACTCCGGAAGAGGATTAACCGGATGCAACCCAGGCTTACTACAGTGTCAAGAGATCTTCACATCCTTGAATCTCACCCCGGAGAGTGGATTGAGCTTGGAATCTCTGACTTTGCTCGAATTCCGGACTGCATGATGCCAATCCTCGATCTTGCTGGTCAAGGAGTTGAAGTGTTCTGCTCGTCAACAAGATTTTCATAGTCCGAAGTGTACGATGAGGGACATTCCGTCTTTTGAATAAACGCTTTATGTCCAATCTCTTGTATGTTCGCATAGCCGAACCTTTATTTGCTTCACTTGTTCGCACATTCGGACCTTTTTCCTTTAATAAAGAAATAAAATAAATTTTTATTAATAGCTGAACTCGTTTCCGAGCTGCCTACGTACCCATTTCGGGATCAAGCCACACCGTAGTTCATGTACATAAACAATGCATGTAGCTTTAAACATAAAACTTCTTTAGGTTGATCACATTCCAAGGTCGCTTGACTGGATTGTCTTCTAAGTCTTTCAACCAATAAACACCGTTCCGAACCACTTCGGTAATAATGTAAGGTCCTTCCCAATTAATACCGAGTTTACCGGCACCTTCTTCTTTTTTGTTGTCAAAGACGCGCCTTAATACATAATTTCCCACAAAGAACGGCCTACTTTTAACCTTAGAATTGTAATACCGGGCTGCTGCCTGCTAGTAATTCTGGATCCGAATCAAAGCTTGATCACGCCTTTCATTTATGGTATCTAGTGAATCATTAAGCATTGCTGAATTTTCTTCCTCATTTAACGGTGCTTATGTTCGGCGAAGTCCGGGCACATTGAGTTCAGCTGGTACTACCGCCTCCATTCCATAAACCAAAGAGAATGGAGTTTCTCCTGTAGGTCGCCTAGGGGTTGTGCGATAGGCCCACAGGACGGGTTGGAGTTCTTCATACCATCCTCCCTTTAGATGATTTAAGCGTTTCTTGAGATTGCTCAATATCGTCTTGTTCGCGGCTTCAGCTTGACCGTTTCCTTGCGGATATCGTGGAGTAGAATAACTAACTTTGATTCCCCAGTTCGCACAAAAGGCATCAAACTCGTGTGAAATGAATTGTGGTCCATTATCAGTGACTATTTCGTACGGAACTCCATGTCGACATATAATGTTTTTCCAAATAAAGGTCTTCACCGCCGAATCCTTGATACCAACATACGCCTCAGCTTCAATCCATTTCGAAAAGTAGTCCATAAGGACTAAAAGGTATTGTACACCTCGAGTTGACTTGTGCAATGGTCCAATGATGTCCATTGACCACCTCATAAACGGGTATGGGGCAGAAATGGAGGAGAATAATTCCGATGGTTGATGGATCAATGGTGCATGGAGTTGGCAGTGCTTGCATCTTTGGGCGAACTTAACACAATCTGTGATCATAGTGGGCCAATAATATCCCATTCTTTTAACTTTTAATGCCATAGCCCTTCCTGATGAATGACTCCCACATAATCCTTCGTGCACTTCGCTCATAACGATTTCGACTTCGGGCCCAAAAATGCATAATAGGTAAGGGTCACTGACACCTCGTCTATATAATGTGTCTTTTGACAGACAAAATTTCGCGCTAACGATTCTCATTTTTCTGGCCTGCCATTTATTCTTTGGGAGCTCGCCTGTCATAATGTAGTGCTTTATTGGCTCCCTCTAGTCAGCCCCCAGTCTTTAGCCAGAATTTGGTCGACCTTGTGAAATACTCGTGGCTCCGGTTCGGGATGTTCGTTTGGTTCAAGAACATTCTCCTCGATTAACGGCTCGGTTTCTAATATCGTTTCTGGAATCACATCTTCTGCTAAGAGAACGGGTTCCTTGTCAGGTGTGTTAGATCCCCTTGACTTCCTCCGTTTGTTGGGTGGAGGTTCGATCTCTGGTTCGCCACGGTCACGTGCCGCTGCTCGAGACCTTGTAATGACGAGGGTTTCCTTGTTGTCTTGAATGCTTCACTCCGAAATGCATTCCACTAGAATAACTCTTTTCAACTCAGGATCTGATGTTGACGCTAATGCGGCAAGTGCGTCCGCAGTTGTATTCTCCCCCCGAGGTATGCGAATTAATTCGAATTTCGAGAAATTTTTAGATAGATCCTTCACCACTTCGAGGTACGCTTCCATTCTTGAATCCTTGGCTTCATAGTCTCCATTAAACTGGTTAACTACTAATTGCGAATCGCAATAAGCCAATATTTCCTTAGCACCAACTCCTTGTGCCAATCGAAGTCCGGCAATCAGGGCTTCGTATTCTGCCTCGTTGTTGGAGGCATTGAATAACAATCGGAATGACTGTTCTAGAATTTCTAATGTTGGAGACTCCAACTTGATTCCCACTCCGGATCCTTGTTTTGTTGAAGACCCATCTACGTGTAATTTCCAAGTTTGGTTCTCCGGTTGTTCTATCGTTCCAGGTATTGGTAGTTCGGTCAGGAAGTCTGCTAAGACCTGAGCCTTCATACTGATCCGGCTTTTGAACTCTATGTCGTACTCGCTTAATTCCACCGCCCATTTCGCCAAACGTCCGGACTGACTTGGACTATGAAGTATTGTTCGGAGTGGCTGGTTGGTTAATACGTCAATCGGATGGGATTGAAAATACGGGCGCAGCTTCCGAGCCGAGGTCACCACCGCGAGTGCGAGTTTTTCCATCATTGTATATCTGGTTTCTGGATCCGTCTTTGACTTACTTACATAGTAAATCGGCTTCTGTTCCCCGCGGTCTTCCCGAACCAAGACTCCACTAATCGCATGGTTTGAAACTGATATATATAAATAAAGCTTTTCATCCACTTCTGGCTTAGACAATATGGGTGGATTGGTTAAGTATGCCTTAAGCTGCCCAAAAGCTTCTTCACACTTCTCATCCCAAAGGAATCCTTTGTTTCCTCTTAGGATTTGGTAGAAAGGTAACGACTTATCCGTTGATCTTGAGATAAAACGATTCAAAGCCGCGATCCGCCCAGTCAACCGTTGTACTTCCTTGAAGTTTCTTGGAGATGGCATATTTAGAAAAGCGTTAATTTGATTTGGATTGGCTTCAATCCCTCTTCCGGTCACAATAGAGCCAAGAAATTCTCCGGATGGGACTCCGAATGTGCACTTTGCCTGGTTCAGCTTCATTTGATATTTATTGAGAATATCAAAACATTCCTCTAAATGTTTGACATGATCCTCTTTCTTTAACGATTTAACCAACATATCATCTATGTAGACTTCCATTGTCTTCCCGAGGTGATTGTGGAACATTTTGTTAACCAACCGTTGGTAAGTTGCTCC